ACACGTGGGTGTGGTGTGTTAGTTGGCTTACAATGCATATTCCCACGAGTTGCAGGTAATCTTACTGGACTTGAGACGATAAAAATGTCTTAAATGCTTGCAAGCCAAAAATGTCAAGCAGCATTTAGGTAATAACGAAGATAAAATGCGTAAGACGGTGTGTATTGAAACGCCCAGTCCCATCGGCTTGTACGACCTTTTCAATGGTCATTTACTCACAATGGTACAGCAGTTTGACAATATGTCATACATATTTGGTAGGCTTATTCCTTCTTCTCCGAATTTCACTTGATTTTCTTCGTCTTAGTTAATTGTTACGGCACGTGCCACGTGCCAACTTAGGGGTGTCGAAATTGTTCCACATAAAGTAACTCCGCAATGGCTGGGCCCATTACAGTAAAACTTCGTCAATAGTTAGGCACCCAGTGGCCACCGCATTTCCATGTGTCACATGAGGGTGCTACTGCACGTGCGCACGTGCGGGGTGCCGCTTCCATATCTCAAGAGCGGCTTGGCGGATAACACTCAAACTTGGTACACAAATGTCACATCGATGCTCGCACTGCATTGATCAGTGCTTACATTGGTGCAGAGTCGTTAGGAAAACGATGAAATGAGATGCGTGGTGTTTATGCCTTTCTGTTGCAGCAGCTGATTGATCCGCAACAGGAGATCCTTGTTTGTGAAGGCTTCGTCTCCCTTTTCCACCCCTTGTTTAAAATAACATTAACAAGGTACGAAGAAGATCACACATCAAAGTTGTTTTAGGCGGCTATCTTAGGCCAGGGCTGCGGAGTTGTAGTCAGAGCCAGCGGTTCAGTTCCGACTCGGAGTCGGTTGATTTTTAAAAGCTGTAGTCGGAGTATGAGTCGAACGTCACCGAAAAGTCGTCGACTCCATCCACAGACTTACCAGGGCTGCAGAGTCGGAGTCAGAGTCGGAGTCTGTGTGAATCGACAGTTCTGCCCGGAGGAGTCGGAGTCGATATTTGGATACCGGAATCGGAGTTGGAGCCAAAGTCACTGAAATTTCATCGACTACGCAGCGCTGGTTGGGTCCTTTTCATAGAGCGTCTTGAATGACACTATTGAGCGGCAATGACGTTAGCAATTCCGTTCAACTTTTTCATTAGACTTATAGATAGTACTTAACGTTCGTTTTGTTATTTGATCGGACAATTTGTTTGATTTAGGCCAAGTAAAGACTCATGTGAAAAATAGCGAAAACGACACGTGCTGTCGAAGTCTCCAATAACTCCCTGTTTCACGATTTAATGAGGAAATAACATGGAACTGCTTATCTTATTACTGACCCTGAACATAAATCTATTAGTTTCTTCGCTTTTACTGACATATAAAGACATAACCTTTTGAAAAATTGCACAACAAGCCCGCTACTACACCACACTCCCGTGTGTCACAATGCTAATCAGCGGCGTTCACTCGGCTTGCTCCTAACTTACGATAATTCTCCCGCTAGATGGCAGGCCTGAGCTCAATGTCGCCAAAAACTGCGAAGACACCAATCCATTATTATCTCATCCATGGCATAACCTTGAGAGGTCAAATGAGTGTTAAGAAAGTAAGATTAGGTGCCGGCGAGTCGATTGGTGCCATTTTTAGCGCTCTAGCTCTACTGGATGGGCCACAATCTGCTGTGCAAATTTGGGCCACGTGACCTTTGCTGACCTTTGTAGGTCAAACAGTTAGGAGTGCCACCGAAAGACTTGGACTGTGGATGGGGCATGTCATGGCCTACATTGTGTGCGAGTTTCAGCTTGATCAGAGGTGTCCCGAATCTGGGCTGAATCCGTGCTGCGACGTATCGAGTGTCGTTTATTTGCACCTTTTGACCTGTCGAGGTCAAACGGGGTCACATATCGAGAAGGGGTTTTTAAAGAAAGTTACTACGGCCTATGGGCTACCCGATGATGTGCTTTGATTTGGAATTTGGTCACTCGCTCTACTCGAAAACTGCTGTGCAAATGTATTTTCGACATAGCCCACAAATGACCTTAGGTCATCGCATGACCTTGAGAGGTCAAATGAGTGTTGGAAAGTAAGATTAGATGCTGGCGAGTCGATTGGTGCCATTTTTAGCGCTCTAGCTCTACTGGGTGGGCCACAATCTGCTGTGCAAATTTGGGCCACGTGACCTTTGCTGACCTCTATAGGTCAAACGGCTGGGAGTGCCACCGAATGACTCGGGCTGTGGATTGAGCATGTCAGCACCTACATTATGTGTTATTTTCAGCTTGATCTGAGATGTCCCGAATCTGGGCTGAATCCGGGCTGCGACGTAGGGGAAGCCGGGGGAAGCCCGGGCGCGGGGGAAGCCCGGCCACCCCGTTTCCGGCTAAATTATTCACAATAAAATGCTCAACTGTTTGTTCTTTCAGCGTGGCAGCTAAGGTAACGCCAGCAAAAAAGTTAAGGCTGCCAAAAATTGCATATTGTTAAAGTTATAGCGCAAAAATGATATTTTAAGGGTTTTTAGCTAAAAGGTGAGATATGTTGCACTGTTAATGTTGTACCATACAGTACTAATATTTATACGAATGTTATGTAAGGACCGTTTAAGTGTTTGTAGTGAGGGGTGACGAGGCAGGCATTTAGTATGACATTTTTTCGAATATCGCTGTTCTAAAATAAAAATTAGCACATTGGGGTAACCCCGGGCGAGTGGCCAAGCTTACCCCCAACCGAGAGCAATGCCACCAAACCACTGTTTTCCATGAGATAATAGGTACTGAGCAGGTTTGGTTTACACCTAGATCAAAGATAAATTTCGAAAATAAACATGTTATCATAGACAAAGCCAGTCATGTCACTTAAGGTCAACTAGGGTCAAACTACGTTTTTGCAGATAACGCGACAGACAGTGAAGCTAGAGCTTCAAAAATGGTGTCGTTGTGTTCTTCTTCATCAGCCGAGTCGAATGATATGCAATATGATGCATTAAGGTAAAAAGAAAAATAAATTTTAAGGAATTTTGAAATACACATTTTTTTGTCAATTTTGCATCACGATTTTCATCGACCTGTACTGTATATGTAGTAGACGCTAGCTACAATACCAGTAGTGACATAAACTCTAAGATGTCCAGAGCTAATCAGTACCTTAATATTTCACTTTCCGTTAATATTTGGAAAACACATAACGGTTTCATCAACTCGTTGTAAAGCGCTGGGGAGGTGGCCGGCGTTACCCCTATGCCGGGCTTACCCCAGAAAAATCAACACTTTTTTAAAACTCGATTTTCTCAACCTTATACTTATTCCACGAAACCGAATTTTTGGGAAAACACGGCCAATGAACTTAGCTAGCTAGCAGGATATCAACATTTTATACAGCACGTATGGTATGTAATAAAAATGAAAAAGAGCTTACTATGCCGGGCTTCCCCCGGCTTCCCCTATGGAGTGTCGTTTATTTGCACGTTTTGACCTGCCAAGGTCAAACGACGTCACATATCGAAAAGCGGTTTTTAAGGAAAGTTACTACGGCCTATGGGCTACCCGATGATGTGCTTTGATTTGGAATTCGGTCAATCTCTCTACTCGAAAACTGCTGTGCAATTGTATTTTCGACATAGCCCACAAATGACCTTAGGTCATCGCATGACCTTGAGAGGTCAAATGAGAGTTGGGAAAGTAAGATTAGATGCTGGCGAGTCGATTGGTGCCATTTTTAGCGCTCTAGCTCTACTGGGTGGGCCACAATCTGTTGTGCAAATTTGGGCAACGTGACCTTTGCTGACCTCTGTAGGTCAAACGGCTGGGAGTGCCACCGAATGACTTGGACTGTGGATTGGGCATGTCATGGCCTACATTGTGTGCGAGTTTCAGCTTGATCGGAGGTGTCCCGAATCTGGGCTGAATCCGGGCTGAATCTGGGCTGAATATGGGCTGTCTTGACGGACATTGCTATCATGTCGATTTCTCCTACATGTTAACCCTCGCCGGCACAGGCCATTTTGACTCTGGTTGGCAGAGTTTTTCACGTTTGCCCCAAGGTCACTCAATCATCAAAGCAATATTTCAGTTTTTCAGCATAGGAACTTTGAGAATGTTTATTTTTTAGTTTTCTTGACTTATGTCTTGGGGGGGGGGGCAAAAGATAGTATGGGCCCCCCCTTTGACCGTCTTGGGGGGGGGGGCATGGCCCCGTTGGCCCCCCCTTGGATCCGCCCCTGCGTTCCGTCTGCAGTGCATGCCGTGCTCAAAGGTTCATCAGACTTCAGGCATGGTGATAAGTAGCCGCCTGTCACTGCCCTCGACAAGTGTAGCGTCGTTTCTATACGGCCGCTAGTGTACTTATACACGGTTCCATGGTGCGATGCGTGATGTTGATGCCGCCCTCACGGTGTAATGTGAATGTATCAGTTCGGTGGCATTCCGATCTGATCAGCCCGGTGAAAGTACTGCAGTGTAGCTGCCGTGGCCCGCCGGTCGGCGACGTCCGGCGCGTGCAGTTTCCACCGCTGACCGTTAGGCTATCCTACCGTTCTCCTTATACACGGTGCCTACGCCGAGGACGTAATGCATGCAGTCGCTGTGCTTGGTACGAGTAGACCATGATGAGATCATACACTCATCTGATTCAGTTTGGTATCGGGGTGCTTGATTTCAGGATGAAGCGGAGGCCAGGTGCCCGTATTTGACACCTTCTGCACTTTTACAGTCACCTCATACTACTGTTATCCAACAGGCAAATTTGATCCAGAGGAGCACAATTTTTTTTTTTTTTTTGCAAAGTGAGCTTGCAAGATGATGACTTTAAGATCGGGCGGAACACCGAACACAGCTGCTCGCCGATTCGCTCACCGTAGTCGATGTCGCGCAGTAGGTACATATCCCCAGTTGTGGAATTCACCCATATCGTATCACATGAACACTGTAAAATGGTTCAGACTCAGAGTTCATCTGAATAACGCTTACCTATATGACGCCAACAATAGGCAAAATAGATAGCTGGAGGGACGCACGCTCTAATTAAACCGGGCGCTTCCGTATCACCTGATAAAGTGGCCGCTCTATCTCCATGACTGGCTGTTTGTTTGGGGCGGGACTGCGTCTGCGCGGGCGCCGGGAGGGCGGGGCACCAAGGTCGGAGCCCTCGTCGGTGTCCCGGCGGCGACCCGCGCCGTGTTGTGGGCCGTGTGAGCTCCGGTCGGCAGTAACGCAAGGATAGCTCGGACAGACTCAGTACAGTCACCATGGCGACCACCCTGGACATGGAACAGCTGACGGTGAAGTGTCAGAGCCTGTACCAGCCCCCGCAGATTGAGCTGGCCGTCGGTGAGTACTAACTGATGAGTCACTGCGCTGAGTGTGTACTGTGTAGCACCCCCGAGACGAGACGAGACCCTGTTGAACTCGTGCCTGCTGGCTGGTCCCCGTCCGTACTCCCTGGCGCGGCGGCTCGTGGCGAGCGGCCTCCGGTCCTACTGGCCGACGATCGGCTCACTGAAACATTCAGCGTACCTTATCGGCCATCCGTTCGGCACCGCGGTTCGAGGTTCCGGACAGCAACCATCGTCCGCATCCACCCCGGGCACTCAGAGACGGTCTTTGACACACACAAAACGGACGTTGGTTAGCCGCCGAACAGCCAAATTCCTGTGTCGAACGGTTCAATTGTAATCCTCATGAACGTTATCAGCATTGACTCATTTTTCGGACACCTGTGGGTACTGTGGCGACCAGCCCCTTGCAGCTGCCAAATCCGTCAAATGCTTCCCACGGACGCTGCTGCTGATGCATGCATCAAGCTGTCCAAAAGTCCGCCAAGTTTTCCTTTGTCTTTAGGCATACACTTCCTCCAACAACGGCGCACCCCGCCGCTTCAATAGAACAAACAGGTGTATGCCAGTGCCCAGTACCTACAAGAATTGTCATTTTCTTGCTTTGACAGACAATCATAACAGGTGCCGACAGCATCTTTAGAAAAAGAGCTGGTCAAATCTGAGTTACCTGCGGAAACCAACAAGGATTCAACCTCTAGACTGAAAGCCTGTGGCCGCGATCTTAGCGCTGAGCACGGCTATCTGCGCATCAAGAATGTTTCCTGGAATGTTACCTGGATATCGTAAAATACTTTGATGCCGTTGTCGATAGGAAGTATCTTTTTTTGGCATAATCGGTCATCCTTTGTCCAAAACTGTGGGCATTTGTGCCTTCTGAAAACTATTTAGTTACCATGACTTGAGCTGTGCCTGTGTTTATCTATAGTCCTATCAGGATTAGAGTACAGTTGACTACAGAATGATGTTACAGGTGTATGCCAGTTCCTGGTTCGCCTCCTATCTACATGGACACACTCAGAGCGTGTCTTTGAAAGATGTATCCGGACGTAGAGTGCTGTCTAGGCCTCTTTCTAATGCCATGGGTGTCTTCCAGGGCTCTGCGTTAGGGCCGCTTCTTTTCACCATTTTCTCTAACAACTTGTCGCTATACGCGGGCGACGCAAAAGTGTTTCAGTATGCCGATGACACTCAAGTATTGGTTAGCGGTCCAGCTCGGGACCTCGAAGTTCTCATCTCGCGCATGGAGGACTCGCTCGCGTCTCTCAGCGACTGGTTTTGCGCTAACGCCCTCAAAGTGAACGCAAGTAAAACACAGCTTATTGTATTTGGCAGTCGTCAAAATCTACGTAAATTACCAGACTTTAGAGTACCATTCCGCGACAAAGCGTTGCAACCGTGCGCACAGGTCGGGAACCTTGGCGTCACTTTCGACAGCACTATGTCATGGGACGCACACGTCTCTGAACTCTGCCGCCGGTGTACGGGACTGTTGATTGGTCTTTCACATGCGCGCCACTGTCTCCCCGATGGCATCATTCGAACGCTCGTGACGGCACTCGTTGTATCGCGTATCCAGTACTGCCTTTCAGTTTATGGTAATGGGTCCCAAAAAAATTTCGATCGACTCCAAAAAATTCTTAACTTCGCCGCTAGAGTTATTTTCGGCCGCCGTAAATTTGACCATGTCTCCGACCTGCGAACAAAACTCGGTTGGTTGTCCCCGCGCGGTATGTCCGATTTCCACACCCTTGTCATCGCACACAAGGTCATACAGCGCCGAGAACCCGAGCAACTAGCAGCCCTGTTCGTCGCTAACAGCGCTATCCGCGAGAGACCATCCAGGCAAGATCACCTCTTCCATCTTCCCCGTCCGCGGCTGGAAACGGGCAAGCGGCGGTTTGGCTATCGAGCTGCAGCTCTGCTGAACAGCCTGCCACCTCACCTGTCGCAGCTGCCTCCCGCCCGCTTCGCCCGCGCTGTTAAAGCCGCAATCGTGGACGATGAATCAGCACATCGTCGCTGACCAATAGGATGGGGGTGGGTAAGAGCAATGAGGCTGTCCTGAGACTGTTTTGTCCTTGTTTTGATGTGAGTGAATGTGAAAATGTATTGAATGATTAGATTAGCAACCGCGGATACGGATTCTGAGCAGTAATCGCCACGCACATCGTATGTGGATCGCTCTTAAATGTAAATACAAATACAAATACAAATACAAATGTTCCACTCCTCAGAAGCTATCAGTTGACTGGAACGCTAAGTTGTGCCATTTATTTAAAGGGACCCTCCCACCTTCAAAAAAGTTAATGAATTTGCATGAAAGTGATGTCGCTCGATTCAGAAAGAGCAAAAACGAATATCTACCAAATTTCACCGAAAAATATTCACCGGTTTTCAAGATATTAGACTTTTACTTTTGTTTACTTTTTTGGGATCTCCGCTGTTCCTAGCGACTTCATTTTGGAAGTGCGGCGTTCGCGGCAGATGTTGCGCGCAAATAGCATATACCACCACTGCTTTACAAAGATGTTAGTATAAGGTTTTAAAATCGTTAGATCACCGCTGACGTCACAAATTCTAAGGGGCATCTCAATGCATTAGCCCCTTATAATCCGAAAACTGCAAGTTTGAAATTCCATATCTCCGAATTAAAGTATTTTTCGATGTGTGAGTGTCCAAACCGGTATTTGCAGGCCATGGCAACCAATTTGGCTATCTCAACTCAAAACTAATGTTAAGGTGTTAAGGTGGGATGGTCACTTTAAGTAAGCGTGTCTTTTGTGAGCATTGGGTCACAGCATTTAACTGTGATCGCAGTTAGTTTGATGCGGCACAGCCAATCATCCCAGGCAACTAATTGCCTGTGAAAGCGGAACATCATTCTGTGGTAAACTGTAGGTACATGCCTTCGCATATCTTTAGACCTATCTATCCCTATCATTAGGTGCTGGCCTATTTATAAAAAGGAGGATACTTATACATTTGCATAGCGCTGCTATTGTGAGGAAATACAGTTATTTCATTTTTAAGGACCGTGAGTTGAACTGGAACAATCACAGTGCTATCCATTTGATGCAAAAACGAACTAAAAAAGGCAAAATATGTTATATGGTAGAGTGAGGAAACATTGTGGTTAAACGTGTAGGTTTAGAGTCGTACCGAACCGATGTGTGCAATTTAAATGCTTTACATGAAAATAAATGCATCGTTTGGTATCGGTGATCGATCTGAAAACTCATTCTTTGAAATGTATCCAAAGTCTACATGTCAGATAACACTGGATCAGCTGACCTGGGCTACTGCTGGTGTTTCCACAGTTCTGCAGTCGGCACTGCGGAAGAATTTCGCCGATGCCACCGTGCGCGTGGTCGACTGCCCCGACCTCACTCAGAGGCCCTTCAACCTGGCGGCACCGGGTGAGTCCACAGGCACACCCAGTCCAACGGACGGGTCAAAGGGGCACTCGAAACAACACAGGGACCTCCGAGGACAGGTGGGTGGCCCGGCCGGGCTTCGTGGTATCGGTAGGCACACAACATTATAAGGCTCGGTTTCACATAAAGCGACTTCCATAGTTCATAATTCGTTTGGGGTTGATCGAGACATCCGGTAATACGAACCAACACTATCGAATTACATCTGTGAGAGGTTTTATCTTGGAAAAACAATGGTAGGTTCTGTGAGCGTTAAACGTGCTTTATTTCTGGTTTATAATTAGTGCGAAAATGCCGTCTAATATATCTGCTTCAATGCCCAGTACTCATGGATGGCATACGATTGTTTCGTTATTCCTATGAAAGTATAATTTGAAAGCATTTTTGAGTTCAGCCTCGGCGCTCCTAACGCGACTTTATCCTGCTGGATCTCGCCATCTGATATCTGGGCATGCTGTTCCGCACTGCAATAACGTCTTGCGGCGCAGTCTAGCTCACAGGCAGTCCGCCTCGTGGAGTGCGTACGGCCGTAACCTGTCTTGCGGCGCCACGGTAATTTTTCTAGCTTTGCGTCGATCTTTATGCATGAGGTAAAATCAAAGCCCTAGTAACGATGCCTATATGCGTGAAGTCGTGTCAGTTAAGTGTTTTGTCGCATTTCTTGCGTGCCATATCGGTTTTCACGTCAGGTATTCGAGTGTTTTATATTCGAGCGGTTGATTCCGCTTATTTTCCCGAATCTTTTGGGTAAAATGATGGCAAATTGATGTATTCAGAACACATTTGCATTTAATATCGGCAAGGTTATGCATAATTAGACATAACGAGTACCACGAATAAAAACTGTTTAACCCTCGCTGGCCGAGGGGGGAGGTGGGTGCCTCCCCCCCCCCCCCACAGGGGTTTTTCGTGATAACTCCGAACAAGCCGGCGATAGACAGCCGAAACTTGGCATACCTAACCTTTGATTCAAGCCGGATCTTGTGACACCAACCGTATTTTCAGGTCAGGTCAGATCAGGTCGCTGACCTATGACGTCATAAGTGAACCTCTGCACGGTCCTCATAAGTCGCGACTTCGCAACGCCATCAGTGCCAGAGCAGCTTTCACAGGGAGGTGAAACTTACAGGACTTAGTTATCCTCCAGAGGTCTCACAACATGTATATCTCGGATTTTTCCTGAAAGTCACATGAGGTCAGGTCGGTCACGTGACCTCACCATTGGGGAAAATGGGGAAATGGGGAAAAAAATGAAAACTACTATTTTGGCGCCGAAAACGATCGCAAACTGTCAAAAGCACACAGAATCGTGAATCGTGATCTCATGCACTCCTTTTGCAACGTTAACCTTACGCGACGTCATTCATTACGTCACTAGGGTCATTAAGAGTTTTTCTTCAATAACTCCCATTCAAATTGAGCTTGCGAATCGGGAAAGCCACCAATGGACTCAAAAAGACCTGTCGAATCAAATGATACGCAACATGACCTCCAACCAGCTTCGTGACCTGGGGGCTCTGCCCAAACCTTGACCCGAGGTCAACACTCAACACCTTAAGTTGACCTCACCCGAACAAAAAGTGCCTATACCATTCGACGCGCCTGAGCAAGCCGAACACGATTGAAGATGATGCCAAAATCGCGGCTCTACGGCCGTTTTTTTTGCAAAGTAATTTATCAAAAATCTAGCACATGCCCTGGGCCACTTGACCTGACCTCAGAGGTTACCGGCTGGCCTGAGACCTTAACCCTCGCCGGCACAGGGGGGAGGGGGTTGATGCAACCCCCCTAAGGTTTTTCGCGAATAACTCGCGTAAAAAGCGGCCGATCGCGACGAAACTTTCAGTACCCTCGCTGATCAATTTTACACCTACCCTGAAAATTTCATGACCCTGACCCAAATGACCTTTGACCTGTGACCTCTTTTCCGAGACCATGTTTGGCCGGAATCGCGATTCGGCGTATGTCGGCTCGCATTAGCCGCGCGTTTGCAAGCTTTTCGTGGTTTCAAACGTTCAAACATGTGATTTGATGTTGCTCCCATGCATTAGGGTGGGTGTCAAGGTCACCTCAAGGTCAGGTCAGGTCATTGACGTTTGGTGTGAACTCGGTTCACTTTTTCGACTTTTACATGCTTCTAGGCTAGTTTTTGGAGCTGAATTCGAATTTAGCAACCATTTGAACATTTACGAAAGAGTTTTGGTGCCTTCGTAACATGGTACGAAGCTGTCAGAGGCGGTTGACACGTATTACGAATACCCGTCACGACCCCTACCGGTTGACCTGACCTGACCTGACCCGACCTGGTCTAAATGCTTAAAGACATTATCTCTGATCAAAACTAACACGGTATTCGTGATCAGCATCCCGGAAAACCCCATAGCAGCCACACTTTACGACTTTCTAACAGGTCCCGATTTTCCCGATTTTCGGGTCATTGACCTGACCTGGAAGGTCAACCGATGACCTAGGACCTTCAATTGGATATCATCGGCTTCGTCTCGTGACAGGCAACACGGTCGTTTTTTTTTTCCGCGAAGCTCTAGCTCGATTAGGGGCCAAACGGGAGGGGGGGTCGTACCAACTCCCCCCTCGTGCCGTCGAAGGACGCAAAATGGCCTATGCCGGCGAGGGTTAAAATCCGGTACAAGTCGCTGCGTCTCGTAGCGGCGCACATGCTTGTTTTTCCGCGAGGCTATAACTCCATCAGGGGCGAAACGGCGGGTGGGGGTTCGTACTAACCCCCCCCCCCTCGGCCGGCGTGAATGTAGAAAACCAATAGGTCCGGCGTGGAACCCGCGGCCTGATGGGGGGAGGGGGCATTTTGCCCCCCCCCCCGCCCTGTGGTTTTTCCTGAATAGCGGAAAAAACGCTTAATTTTCAGCACCTTTTGAAACATCAATTTGACACTTTTATACAAAATGTCAAGTCATAGGTCATCTTAGGTCAGGAGCTATTGAGGTCAAACTGAGGTCATCCTCGAGCAAAAATGAGCAAAAAACATGAAATCTTGAAACGCTGACAAAAGCTACGGTTAACGAGCAATTTCAAAGTTCTTTATGTGGTCGTGTAGAGAAAAGACGGCGCTATAAAACTGCTATCCCAGATTTTCAAAATTTTGTGATTTTGACCCCCGAAAAATAAAAAATATGATTTTTTATAAAATAGCAAAAAAATCCCAAAAGTTTTCTGAATTTCGAAAAAAAACGGAATATATGTAATAGACCCTACTCTCTTCTATCTACATGCCGAATTTTAGATGGATACCTCCTTCTTTGGCCAAGTTATAGCGAAAAACTGCTCAAAATTGATTACGTCAAATTTTTTAAACTTAATTTTTAGCAATTCTAGACCACGTAGCGCAAAACAAAGACCTTTATTAGACTCCCCGTGACGAGCTGCATCGAATTGATACCCATTTTATGCAAAAATATCAAGTTTTAAATTTGACCTTATTGACCTGACCTTCACCAGAACATAACCTTAACTGGTCCCATAGGTTGCCTGGCCCACATAATCGCATTTGTCATGTAAAATGGGCCATAAAACATGCATCACATAATATTTTCAAATTTTGACCATCAGTGACCTGACCTGGTATCAGTGACCTCAAATAGCAAAATATGTGTTTTATGGACAATTCCCCACCGATGATTTTGAATGACATGCATTTTACTCGATTTTATAACGTATTTCTTAAAATGTCTGTAAACGGTGAAAATTCGACATTTAACCTGACCTGTGACGTCATCGGTTAGACCGAGGTAAATGAAATTGGGTCACAAGGTAGTTCCTCGTTGGGGCTATCCAACGCCGTTTGCCGCTTGTCGCTATGTTGCGTGGTTCTCGAGATCTTAGGGGGGCCAAAATGCCCCCCCCCCATCAGACCGCGTTGCTCGGCAGACCCCATCAGGGCGAGGGTTTATAACGACGGAACATGAACAGTGACTGAACACCCTTGCCGCTAAGCGCTGGAGCCTGGAATTATCGTTAGTACGGTTTGAACGCATCCATCAATATCAACATTCGATTCCATTTCATTGTTATTTGCATTGTAATGTGAGTTGTCCATTGATGGCCATGGACACTTCGTTCTCGCCTTATGTTTACTTCCGCCTTTCAAATCCATGCGTTGTAGTGAAATGCAGTATTCTGTATCATTCCATATTCGCAACATTCGCCTAGCGGTGAGCAGGCTCCTTCGCCCAATGAGCGGGATTGACCTCGTTCCCGTGCAGTTTTCACGCACGCAGGCCTACGCACACCCCGCTGGTGTCAGTCAATGTTCTGACACACGAGCAGGCGGTGACGCCAGTCCACCGTCTACGGAAGTAGGCTTAGGCGTACATGTACATGATACCTACACCTACACTGTGGCACAATCGTCTGGCCCAGCGCTCGTGCGGAGACAACCTCGTGTCTGGCCTGCGCGAGCCGCGGCCAACGCTGATGGGTGACTGACCTCTGTGACATGGCGGCTCCACACCCAGACTAGCGACACGACACTACATAAATAGACAAACTCCGTGATATATATGCATAAACATTATATACATGTACTGAGAGCTCAGAGCGACATACATAGCAGCGAGTCGTCGGCAGAGTCCGAACTCCGAGGCCTATATTCGCATAATAAATTCATTCGTAGGTATCCATCCTTCTTAATTATCCAATATGTAATAATTGACGGCTGACCAAGGACCGTGGTTGTAAGCGTCGCTATGCTGCTAGCTGCTACCATGTATGTACTTTGAAATTGTTTTCGAGGATAAGTAGGTAACAGGTAGCAAATTGATGTCATCTTCCTAATCATTTTATTTTTCTGAAGTCTGAACAGGATCGGTTGTGACGCAGGTACGCGACGGAGTGACGTCTTCGATTTTTTTCCTGGTATACCTATCGGAATAAAGTCGAACAAACAGGAATAACCTTTCCGAGAACTTCGGCTGTTTCGTGACGGAACCTGATTGGGTAGTTGTGATGCAGCTGAAAATCGGCTGTAATAATAGCGTGCATAGTTGGGGGCCATATAAGGATGGACAATTGCTTCGTATTGTTATGAAACCGCAAGTAATTGCAATGACTCATCGTCGATTTTGGTTTCGATGTCCTGGATACACGTCAGGTAAAGAAAGTTCACTTGTTGAGGGGCTCAATCTTTGGCATGGAGTATCGCACATCTTTGCGCGATGATTTCCAAGCGCCTGTTAACACAGCCTTTGGCCTTTTTGTTTGTTTTGCCGAAATAAGAATACCTATCACGTATTAAAACAAGGGCTGCACCACACATAAGCTCCGTTTCCCTGACATCTTCAGATGGGCGATGCCGTTTCCATGACCGATCCTAACCAATCGCGCCCAAAACGGAAATATATATGCACCGAGATTGGTCGATAGTCCACGGGACAAACCTAGCGGGAACGGTCTGAATCAAGGCCATATATAGGGTCTGAATGAAAAGGGATCGCTGCAGGTCACAGCATATTGAATTAACGGCTTTACCGAAGCCACGTGCCATTAGCTAGGCCATAACTCGGTCCGCTGCTGTGTGCCCGTCGGACTGCTGCTGGTGTGAGTGTGTGACCGGCCGGCGGTCGGCACTGTCGGCAGGTCTGTGCGGCTCCCCGCGGGTGGCCGAGGTCGGCGGCGTGCCCAACCTGATCCCGTCGCCACGCCGGGAGAAGCTCTACAGCCTGTGGCAGGTGCCGGCCGCCTGCGGCCTGCAGCACGGCATGCTGCTCGGCGCCGGCGCAGGGCCCTGGCCGCACGTCGGCAAAAACTCCGAGGTAACAATCGTGCATCTGCCGATCAGTCCTTTATCAGACCGAAAGACATTTTCTTACACCGAAAGGCCTAAAAATTATCTCATTTCTCGTTACGCTAGGTATCCTATTTCTTGTTCAGAACGTAATAGCTAGATCTGGCGTGTTTGGCAAATTGTACCTATTATTTGAAATATGTGAATTAATTTTGATATTCAATAAAACCAAATTTAAAATATAGCTGCCGTCTAGTGACTAGTCGAGAACAGTACTTAGTCCCAGGCTCCCAACGCAAAACATGCCAGTCACAGACGTTTCAAATGAAAACTCACTTGCGGCATTAAATAAGCGGCTTTTACTTTCTTCATCTTTGCCAGTTCTGATATCACATACCCACACATGACCGATTGACTATTTCACGCGTTTCCCAAACAGATGATTCCGAACCTGTCCATTACGGAGGCGGGCCGGTGCAACAAGAGTCACGTGGTGTCTGTCGAGGAGGGGGCCATGGTGCAGACCCGGCTACCCGCTGACGAGGCCCGCTCCGCGCTGCTCTGCAACATGTTCGTCTCCAAGGGGGAGCCCGGGAAGGTGAGATGGTTGAATAAGGTCGCCTAACTATGTAGTGGGCGGCCACCTTCAGACAACACGGTAACGTAGGGCATCAAGTGTTGACGGTGAGCCGGTGACGAAAGAAGTTCTCCGCAACGGGCCCCTTAGGTTTAAAAATTGCAGCTGAACCATTTCAGCTGTGATCCAATTACTTTGAAAAACTTGCACTTCAACTGTCTGAGGAGGAATGCCAAATGCGGTCGTCGTTATGTTTCCAACAAAATTAGATGCTTATAAATCGACGATACATATCTAACGGCATCTAATAACGGTTCCAGGTTTTTGAAATTGTTTGCGAGAAACGGACTGGAGCGGATAACTTCATATCCTGTCTCCGGAAAGCGTTACAAGCCAGATACAACGAGCGCACTGTTGGTATGTAACGAGGACATTGCGTGAGTACATTACGTTGCATGCACGTGGTGTAATCAACGCAATAGTAACGCATCGTGCTGCGCAGATCTCGCTTACATAACCGCGCTAGATTGGGGTCGTCAGTAGCTTTCCATATCATAAGCCTAATTTTCCTTGCATTGTTCGTTATAACATCCGGGCTAGAGTAGGACAAACAGCGCTCGTTTGCTCAGGTCGATGTACATTGTTGATCCTACCTGGCGGGAGGTGGCACCATAAACACATTTTTAGGCAAACATCCGACCGATGGCTGCCCTTCCCCCGTCCTCATGGCAGGCCCTCACAGCGAATTTTCCAAACATCGGTCAACCAAACGTTTGCATTGTTATGGCCTGCTGTCTACGCGTCGTAGTAACGAATCTTTTATTAGATCCGCCGGCTAAATATAAATATTTTGATAATCTATTTCTAGACTTATTCATACTTCGGGTACAAGCTGTGACCAATCGCTCTGAGTGGTCCAAAATCTAGCCGCTGTCCTCTCAAACCCAACCTCGGCACCCACAGCGATGGGAGGCGTCTTCCTAATCGAGGCCGGCAAGGCGAAGGTGCACGTGATGCCCGACTTTTGCGCCACGCCCATCCGAAACGACGACGACCTGAACAAGTGGCTGCGGTTCTACGAGGCGTCGGCGCCGATGGTGTGCTGCACCAGTCTCCTCTCCACCGATCCGGTACGGTCTCAGACGTCATCACTTTCTTACACAACTTACCCTCTCAAACATGAGCAAAACACTGTCGATAGATTCGGCGCCGCCTGGGGGTCCTGGATTTCCACGCCCTGCTGGGGATGGGGGAAGGTGTGTTTGAACATCCCTCCTTCTAACTCGGCTTGTGGGCCACGTAGCGATACGGATAATACGGCGTTTGAAAGATCGTTAAAAATAATTGCGAAGTTACTTCCGTCATTTTTTTGGTCAGGTCAGAGGTCAGGTCACCAGAGATCATTGAGGGCCAAGTTTCGCCGAGTTTCAGGTCGACTGTCGATAATTTTCAACAAGCCGACGCGTAACTCGAAAACTAATAGAGCTACAGCTCCCCGGAAAAACGCATTTGATAGCCCTATTAACGCTTTTTCTGAGTATTTCCCTCAGATTTGACCTAACGTCAACGATTTTGTCTGCAGGGGGTAAAAACTGATAAAATAGGCAACTTTGCGGAGTTTTTCTGCAACAACTTTTGACTCAAACGTTACACGAGCTTACTTTTACCGGTATCGTGTTCCTCGCGTCAAGACGCATCGAATGAACCATTACTTGACCTTGAAAGGTCAAGTTGAAACTTTGACCTCAGGTCAAGGTCATGATGACCTTACTGGAAAGGGTTATGTTGCATATCAGTCCATCCGTATCGTTAAACGTAACACATCTAAGGCGTTTTCATCGCTCTAGCATGCCTCTATCAAAAATTATTCGCGAAAAAACTGTTAGATACCATTGTGACCTGAGATGACCTCAGCGGCATAACCAGAGGGTCACGGGTGCCATTTTTATGTTCATAGTGTCGTAGTTACTACACCTTTTTGCGTTAGCTTTTGACCATTGGGCAAAACATTTGTACACATTCGCCATATAGGTGGCGCTACAAATGGGCGGTTGGTCACAAAGAATCACCATTGTGCAAAACTATTCGGCGATCTTCCTCTACAGCTCGACATTGAACGAATGGTTCAACGTTGTGCAAAACAAATCGTCAGTGGTCGAAACTAGTCGTCATATGCCGAGCTGGCTCCCTCTATGCTGAAGTCTGGCGAACTGTTAAACTGTTTTGCACATCGCTCATTTCAGTGTTCAATATGTTTTGCTGAATGGCTTAAATGAAACACATCACGCCGGAATAGTTGCGCTCAATGCGGATTGTCGAAATGGGTCCTCAAACAGTTATGGCGAATGGTTGAATTCAAATGCAAAAAGGTGTAGTAATTCAGTGTTTGAGTGTTAAGAAAGACGTTCGTCTAAAAGAGGCGCCTTTCAATTTTCTTCCATTGACTTGGGTATCATGGGGAGGTCGCAAAATTGACCTGACCTTAGGTCACCGATATCGAAATTCCGAGACGAAATTTTGTACATACTGTTGCTCTTATCAATCGCTGAAAGTTTCAAAGCGATCGGTCACTCGGTGAAAGTTATAACAAACGTTGATTTTTTTATGAGGTGAGGTCACTTGAAAGAACGTGGTGTCAAGTGACCTGGTGACCTTGGCCTAAAATTTTCATATGTGCAAAAAGATACATGATAAGGTGTGCCAAAAAGGCGCGGCCGTCGTTCTTAGATATTCGCGAAAAACCGCAGGAGGGGGGGGGGGTTGTGTGTGTGTTCAAATACCCCATCAGTAGGGCGCGGGATGAAAAGGTAAATATTGGAATAAAGTTTTTGAATAAATCTTACGATGCAAAGTCAAGCTATCACCAAAACTTTCATTTTCTCGGGCAATTCTAATGTTAATTTCTGACTAGAGCCAACACCAATGCCCATCAAAAATCGTAAAGAATTAACCGTATGCTGAGAAATGCTCACTGTCTTGAAAAGTCTAGACTTCCTAAACAAGTAAAAATGTGTCGGAAAACGTTCCTTATGGGGAATGGGAAAATCTAGTAAAAATATTAACATTACTACACCTTTTTGCGTTAGATTTCGACCATTGGGCAAAACATCTGTTCTGTACACACTCGCCATATAGGTGGCGCTACAAATGGTCCGTTGGTCACAAAGAATCACCATTGTGCAAAACTATTCGGCGATCTTCCTCTATAATTCGACATTGAACGAATGGTTCAACATTGTGCAAAACAAATCGTTAATGGTCGAAACTACACCTTTTTGCATTTGAATTCAACCATTCGCCATAACTGTTTGAGGAGCCATTTCGACAATCGGCATTGAGCACAACTATTCCGGCGTGGTGTGTTTTATTTCAGCCATTCAGCAAAACAGATTGAACACTGAAATGAGCGATCCGCAAAACAGTTTAACACTTCGCCAGAATTCGGCATTGAGCGAGCTCGCTCGTCATATGACGAATAGTTTCGACCATTGACGATTTGTTTTGCACAATGTTGAACCATTTGTCCAATGTCGAGTTATACGGGAAGATCGCCGAATAGTTTTGCACAATGGTGATTCTTTGTGACCAACCGACCATTTGTAGCGCCACCTATATGGCGAATGTGTACAAATGTTTTGCCCAATGGTCAAAGGCTAACGCAAAAAGGTGTATTCGTCATATGCCGAGCTGGCTCGCTCAATGCCCGAAGTCTGGCGAAGTGTCAAACTGTTTTGCACATCGCTCATTTCAGTGTTCAATCTGTTTTGCTGAATGGCTGAAATGAAACACATGACGCCGGAATAGTTGTGCTCAATGCCGATTGTCGAAATGGCTCCTCAAACAGTTATGGCGAATGGTTGAATTCAAATGCAAAAAGGTGTATTAACTATGCAGTTTGTAAGGATAGTTTTCGGCTGGAGTGGACACTGTTAAGGGCGACCCGGAACGGCGCACATGTCCGTGCACTAACTAATACACTATTGCACAACACACTGCTCAAAAATAATTAAGCATAATTTGCAAATTTTTGCATGATTATTGACGTGTACTGCTGAACATTTTCATGACATATCTATGATAGACATCGCTCAAAACAAAAAAGAGAACTATGCAAAAAGTTTTGATACCGGTGCTTATGTAAAAACATTACATAAGCACCAGTTGGTAGAAATGTGTCATGAGGGCACATGTGCGTCGGTTATGCTGTATTTGGTGCGGGTACCAGCTTAAGTAGGTCTAAAATGTCATTAGCGTGCCAGTGCAGATCGGTCGCGAGTGCGACTGGCCATCGGTCAGTCCCGGATGCTTCGTGACCGGGGAGGCGGCGAATGCCAGGCTCGTGAGTGTACTGCGCCGGTAGTTGACGCGGCCCGGATCCGCGCGCCGCTCGGCGTGACCGATAATTGGAGCACTCCCGGCGAGCGGCGAGCGCGCGTCGCGTGACATATTCATATCCGTGTTGTTCTCTGGGAGGCCGGCATGCGGCGAAATTCGTATGAAGGGCGTGACGGAAAATTTATTGCTATTTATATGGCGATGCGCAATGGCTAAAATTTCCACTTGTAATTGATCACTGAAAACAATGTTCGGGAATCTCGAAGTTAGACAATAGAAAGTCTCCGTTTTAAATGCATTTCGGGGAGCAAAGACCATCTGTGTACAACGTACAAACTGTCAATGATACCTAAGGGTTTTAGTGGTCGGTTTATACGCAGATTGTTACCAGCAACGTGTATTAACCCGCGCCTTGCTGGGGGGGGGGAGGGGGGTGTTTGAACACCACCCTGTGTTTTTTTTTGCGAATAGCGCCGCCGCTTTTGGCACACCTTATCATACGTCAATTCTACACATGCTGTGAAAATTTCAGACCAACGTCATTCAGGGTCAGGTCACCAGGTCACTTAAAGTGAACTCACCTCATAAAAAGTTTCGATGTCTGCCATAGCTACACCGAGTGACTGATCGCTTTGAAACTTTCAGCGATTGCTAAGAGCAATAGCATGTACAAAATGTATATCTCAGAATTTTTGATATCGATGACCTAAGGTCAGGACAATTTTGCGACCTCCCCAATCCCCATTATACCATAAGTCAATGGGAGAAAAGTCAATGGGTAAGTCAATGGGAGAAAACTGAAATGCGCCGCTTTTGGACGAAATCCATTATAAACACTCCCAAACACTAGGGTAACAGTAACTTAGACACACTGAACATGAAAATGATGTCCGCGACCCCTGTTTATGCCCCTGAGGTCATCTCAGGTCACGAATGGTATCTAACAGTTTTTCGCAAATAGCTTTTGATAGAGGCATGCTAGAGCGATGAAAACGCCTTCGATGTATTCAGCTCGACGATACGGATCGACTGATATGCAACAAGACCATTTTCGGTCAGGTAATGACCTTGACCTTAGGTCAAATTTTCAAGTTGACCTTTCAATGTCAAGTTGTAGTTTATTCGATGCGCCTTGACGAGAGGAACACGATGCCGGTAAAAGTGACCTCGTGCAAGACTTGGGTCAAAAGTTATTGCAGAAAAACTGTTTCCAAAAAAAATCGGTTATTTTGGCAGTTTTTGCCCCCTGCAGGCAAAACCGTTGACGTTAGGTCAAATCTGAAGAATGACTCAGAAAGGGCGTTAATAGGGCTATCGAATGCGATTTTCTACGGCGCTGTAGCTCTATTGGTTCCCGAGTTATGCGTTGGCTTCTTGGAAATTGTCGACATTCGACCTGAAAATCGGCGAAATTTTGCCTTCAATGACCTCTGGTGACCTGGCCCTTGACCTGACCAAAAAAGTGGCCAATGTGATTTCGTCATTATTTTTTGGCGCTCCTTCGAACGTCGCCTTCCGCGTATCGCGTATCGCTACGTGGCCCAGGAGCCGAGTTAGAAGGGGGTGGGGTGGGATGGGGTGTAGAGGTGTCAATTTCAGAAATTTCTTGTCCGATGTCCGTCCAATGTCCAAAATCCTAGCTCACTTTTGTCCGAAAAATGTCCAAGGCATGGATTTGTCCGAAAACTGTCCGAAAGCTGGATATGGAAAGAGAGGATGGGGGAATTGATCTATATTAGGTATATGTTATTGTACCACATGATAACTCAATAACAGATATCCGCCATCTCAATCTGGTTTTGAGAGCAAAATATTGGCAACTAAAAATGTTGAAGCAATATCATATGGAGTAGGGAATGGGCATTTGGGCAAAAGGCCTAATCTGATATACAACACAAACACAGCATATTGAGACAAGCCTATTCTGCTTCAAAATGTGCTACAGCCTACAACTGAAGCTGAGTAAGCAGGAATAATGCAAAACATTGCCTTATCCCTCAAACTTGCGTTCTCAAATATTGACTTTTTGCCGCATCCCTTTGACACTAAGCCACTTGATGATGAATTAATGCAGCAATAATGCAAGAAGCTAGTCACTTACAATAATGCCTATCTTCATCTTATATCACACTGGCTGACATGTAAAGTAGAACACTTCTTGCAAAAGCAAAGCAGTTCAAGTTCATGTAAGAAGAAACTGCTCTTCACTGAGCCACACATCTCTGAATATCGAAACAAAATAAGCGATCACAAAAATAAAAATACTTGCTATGATTTAACACAAATTCACTGAAATTCACAAGCAAAAGCAAGTTCTAATCCTTGGTAGAATGGAAAACACATTTCATGCTACCATTCTCGGTAGAATGGAACATGGTATCCGGCTTTGAGTCGATGATGTAAAAGTAAATCAATTATATGACGTCATTATCAGATAATTTGTCCTATTTAAGCGCATGAACCATTAGTTGTTTTATGTTAATTCAATATGCATTGCAAAATATTATAGTTTTTTGAAAATTATTCAATTGTTAAGCAAAATGACTGTATTGATTATTTTAGACGTCATTTTTTTGTCTCTGATTGTCATCCGGGGGCCATCTTTCCTTAGGTGACATTTATGACGCTTTCGCCGCATTTCATCATCTTTTGGTAACAGTTTATTTGGATAGGCTATCGGCATACTTTGTAGCATTGTATTGGATATTTCGGCACGGATATTTTTTGGGTGGAAGGGGATGATTTTATGATAAGAAGTTCTAGGTAAGACTCTTGTGATACTTGGCACACCTTTATATTTGCAATTTTATTCAGCCTCTTTTCTGTTAACTTTCAAGTGAGGCAAATCTATTTTTGGGTTTCCTCCTTTACTGCTTTGGTGTCTAGTGCTTCCCACAGGTCAATGATTGTACATCATATTCATAGTTCATACCTATTACCTGTGTTATCTAATGATGGACTTGCTGACAACAATGCCACCTATTGGCTATTGCCATTTGTAAACACATTTTCAAATTTAGAGTTAAAAGTTGGCACAGTATAGGAAGGTATATATTTGACTCAGAGCTACCTGCTACATGCAATTATGTTCATGTTCAACCTGCACTATAATTATGAATGATGTATGAACCACCTATCCCCTGCCAATTTTGATGACATGTTTTGCAATTTGCATATTGATAATGGAAATAAGTTTGAACTTTAACTTATTTATGAAATTTGTAATTTTCAACAAGTTTTCCGAATATGTCCGATGTGTTTGTCACTTGTCCGTCCGATTTCCGAATCGGAATTCGGAAATTTTCGGAATTTTAAAATTTTCGGTTCCGATTGACACCTCTAATGGGGTGTTCAAACACCCCCCAGCAGGGCGTGGAAATCCAGGACCCCCAGTGGGGCGCGGGTTAACCCGCGCCCCGTTGGGGTCTGCCGAGCAACGCGCCCTGTTGGGGGGGGGGCAATTTGCCCCCACCCCCTAAGATCTCGAGAACCACGCAACATAGCGACAAGCGGTAAACGGCGTTGGATAGCCGCAACAGGGGCTATCCAACAACCTTGTGACCCAATTTCATTGACCTAGGTCAAACCGATGACGTCACAGGTCAGGTCAAATGTCGAATTTTCACCGTTTACAGGCATTTCAAGAAATGCGTTGTAAAATGGAGTAAAATGCATTTCATTGAAAATCATCGATGTGGTATTGTTCGTCAAACACATATTTTGCTATTTGAGGTCACTGATACCAGGTCAGGTCACATAGGTCAGGTCACTAAGGGTCACAATATGAAAATATCGTGTGATACATGTTTTATGGTCTATTTTATGTGTCAAATGCGATTATGTGGGTCAGGCAGCCTTTGGGATCAGTTTAGATTATGTTCTGGTGAAGGTCAGGTCAAGGTCAGGTCAAATTAGGTGAAATTTCAAAGTTGATATTTTTGCATAAAATGGGTATCGATTCGATGCAGCTCGTCACGGGGAGTTAAATGGTGGTCTTTGTTTTGCGCTAGTGCTCTAGAATTGCCAAAAATTGAGTTCAAAAATTTGACGTCATCAATTTTGAACAGTTTTTTCGCTACAACCTGGCCAAAAAAGAGGTATCGATCTAAAAATTGGTATGTAGATAGAAGAGCACAGGATCTATCACATATATTCCGTTTTTCGAAATTCAAAAAACTTTTGGGATTTTTTGCGTTTTTCTAAAAAAAAACAATTTTTTGAATTTTTGGGGGTCGAAATCCAAAAATTTTGAAAATCCGAGATAGCAGTTTTGTAGCACCGTCTTTTCTCTACATGACCGTATAAAGAACTTTGAAATAGCTAAGTAACTGTAGCTTTGGTGAGCGTTTCAAGATTTCATGTTTTTTTGCCCATTTTTGCTCGAACATGACTTCAGTTTGACCTCAATAACTCCTGACCTAAGGTGACCTAAGACTTGAAATTTTGTGTGGAGGTGTCAAATTGATGCTCGGTGAGGTACTGAAAATTTGGCGGCGCCGCAGCGCCGCCGTTTTCTTGCTATTTAGGAAAAACCACAGGGGGGGGGGCAAATTGCCCCCTTCCCAACGGGGCGAGGGTTAAGCAAAGCGGCGTTTACGTAGGCGTCGCTTACGTCAGCGTTCTGATCGGAAATTTAGAAAAAATTTAATCTGATGAAGCTATCAAGATCAGCAAGCCTTTTTTTGTAGGTATAAGTTAAGCTCGAGTGTTTTAATGGTCAAATTGACTGAGCTGGAGCCTACGCTAAGCGCTCTTGTTGCGTAGGTTCTCACCCTTTACAGTCTGATAAGGCAATCCCGGGTAATCTTGATAATTTAGATGCCACAGTAAATACCCATCAAAACTGGGTACGGTCTGTCCCATTGAACTAACTGGCTGCAGCTGCTCCCGCCGCAGGGCTTTTCCAGCCTTTGTCGCCTATATCGAGCACCGGAGCGACTCGAGCCCGGGCCCTCACCACCGGGTCTACCAACTAAGCTACGGAACGGAATTCGGATTTTTATCCACCCTTTTCCGAAACATTTCCAGGTCGGTTTCGGGTTTAGTCCCACAGCAACCTGTAAAACTTCCGCACAATTCTGCAGCGAATAACGATGCATCCTGCGCGTCTTTGTTGGCTGAAGCGACTGCTACCGACCCTGCATCGCCGCAGGTTCCGCTCACCGCGCGCTCCATGCCAATGACCACCAACAAGGAAACTGGCACCGGCCGCGCGCCGCCCGTCCGTCGCACCGCCCCATTTCCCGGTCCGATCGGTCCAAGTAGTGACCGTCCTGACCGCTCGGACCGCTTACGCGGAAAATAGCAGCTGAGGCCTCGCCGGCGCGTTTTTCGCGACCGCACAAGGTCGTCTAACGCCGCGTGGGGCCGGCTACATCCGCGTATGCACCGTCATCCTCCGTGATCGCGCCGCTCGCCGGCCGCGCCGCTGACCGCTCTGGCACCCCTCGGCAGGGCCTGGACTTCCGTCTGGAGCACACGCACTGTTTCAGCGAGCACGGCGAGGGCGGTCACTACCACTGCGACACGACGCCGGCCGGCGTGCGCTACCGTGCCTACCTGCAGTTGGCCGAGAGCGCCGTGCGCATCGACGCCCCTACAGAGACCCACCAGATCGGCCGCGACTAGCCGGGCGCGCCGCCGGAGCCGACTGGCAGCGGACCAGTCTGGCGGCCGCTCGGATAACGGCAACACGCATTTTTGGTAATGTACTGTTTACATGCAAATATAGTAATGGGAAAGTACTGTGCATGTATGTTTCCCTGATTGACACGTTTGTTGCACAAGACAATACTCGTCAGCAAGTAAAAATTGATGAATATTTTAGGGTAAACGCTATTAGCGAGCCCGTGGAAAGTACTTACGAAGCATTATAATGGGTTCGCTGATTTGTCTGTGCGAATGCCCCGAAAACTGTCACTGTCCATGTTTCCCCACGACTTCTCCACCTGCATATCCGGGAGGTGGCTACATCGCTTTCCCGGAGCTAACGAAAGGATAAGGCCGTAATGACTGTGTAGCTCCTTGTCTATACATTAAGTGTAAATCTTGACATCTTCGCGAAGTTGTAGGAGCAGAGGTCAGGGGCGTCGCCACGGTCCTCAAACTTGTACGGACACATTCCGTCGGCCATCACACTCGTCAAAGACGTTTACTCCATATCAACGTTAGTAATGTCTACATGGCACCGAAACGTCTTGCGTTTTGCATGTTGTATCCAACGGAAAATCAAATTAAATAGTACTAACTAAACGGCATACTTTGCTATCAAAATGAAATAAAATGAGAAAATATGTTTGTAGGCACCCCTGAAGCACTGGATCGACGTCTAAAAAAATCGCTTGTTTTTATGGCTGGGTGTGTTGACTGTCGTATAAACCACGCCGGATGGGGACTGCTTTTGGCATATCTAATTGCATTTTTCTTCTGCACATGTTGTTAGAAATTTCAGACCTGATCGCTCAAGGTCAGGTCGCTTGGCCACGTCAGATGACCTTTCCATGGGAAAATGATGCTGCTCTCCATAGCTACACCGACGGAATGATCGCTTGAAACTTTAAGCGATTGATAACACTAACAGTACGTATGTACTATGCATGAAACATTCATCTCAGGATTATGATATCGGTGACATAAGGTCAGATCAATTTTTGCGAACATCTCATTTTATCAGTTGGAGAAAACTGAATTGCGCTTCTTTTAGACGAAATGCATAACAAACACTCTTAATCATCGGGTGACATGTCAACGTAACATAATCAACCGGGAAAGTGCATCCGTGATCCCCGTTTATGGACCTAGCCTCTGAGGTCATTTCAGGTCATGGGAGGTCTTCAACACTTTTTTACGATAACTAGAGACATGATTAAACGGCGGAAAATGCCCTGGATGTGTTCATTGTTCAGCTCAACGATACGAATCGACCGGTGTGCAACATGATCTTATCCGGCTAAATTATGCCCTTGGTGTAGCTCAAAGATTTAAAGTGACCTTTGAAATGACAAATCGTACTTGATTCAACGCGTCTCGACTAAAGGAACACGATGCTGGTAACATCAACGTCTTGCAAGTTATGAGTCAAAAGTTATTACAGAAAATATTTCCGCAAAATCGTCAATTTTAAGTTTTTCCACTTTCGAGGCTAAGTCGTCTACCTTGGGCAAATATAAGAAAATGAATCAGAAACAGCTTCAAAATATGTTAAATGCGCTTTTCTGTGGCGCTATAGCTCTGTCCGTTCCCGAATCATTTGCCGATTTGTCAAACAATGTTTAAATAGACAAGATTTGACTTTTATGACATAAGGTGACTTGGCTTTTGACCTGACTTATAAAATGAACGAAATTCCTTCTTCATTATTTGTGAAGCTCTTTTGAATACCGCATACCGCGTGTCGCTACGAGGCCCAAGAGCCCAGTAAAGGCTCTATTGGCTTTTGACTTGAGGGCCTACCCATATGCTTCTTAGGGCCTCAATGTGGCCTCTAAGGGCTGCTAGCATAGCTTTGAGAACCCATACCAGTCAGTGACGGAGGGCCCCTCGCAGGTGCCTGAGGATTCGATCTTTGGGGGCCTTCCCTGGCGGACCAGCGATCGCTGAGCCCAGAGCTAGCCAACAGTGCAATCTCAATTTCAATTGTTCTGCTTGATCATGAACAACATCACGAACTAACAGGTTTTTCCTTTGGGTTTACATCATTCTTTCAGTTCCCTCGTATTAGAATATCGTCCTATGTCGCTGGGTCCCTCGAATAAGTGAGAAACATTACGTCCTCCAAGTGGTGAGACTCCTACAGACAACCACGAATGTGACATTTGGATGACCCCTTAGAGCGGTATTGTATCCCTTCATACGCGTCATGTTATGTGACACAGCCCCTCTTTCAGGGATGTAGTGCCGATCTTATGCTTCTGTGTCCCTATCTTCCAGTGTGCTGTCCCCTGCCCTGTCTTGTGAGGACGAGTTCTTTCAAGCTGGTACGGTCCTCTGGAATAGGTGCCTAGTCTATGATCCGGTTGGAAAGAGAACATGTCACTCAGCTAATAAATGTCAGTGCATTGAAAAACGTGATAAAGATTTCTATCTTTCTAGTTGAGGTTTATTTGCCCTTGGGTCTACAGTGCAGGGATATTTCTATCTCGCACTTCTCTGAGATGCAAGGATAAGGTCTCGAGGGTTCTCGGCAAAAAAAAAGAAACATTCTTAGTATCCCCCGATATCTAGCATCATCAACAATATTTTTGCTTCATTTATGCCATTTTAATTGCAAAGCTCATTTTCGGTCGTCGCAACTTGTACGGACATTCCGTACAAGTTTTCGGCCCCTCCAAAACTTGTACGGACACTGTCCGTAGTGTCCGTAGTGGTGGCGACGCCCATGGCAGAGGTGCATCGTGAGAGACTAGGCCACCGAAAATGATGAATATATTTAACTTTGAAAACTGCGCTTCAGCGAACTCAATCCGGTTTCGAAGTCTTAGTTAGCCCAATCATGTGAAAATTCTTGAGGCTCGTCGGCGATTTACTCAATTTGCAAAATGCAATCCTTAAGGAAACGCACACACTGTAGCTTATCTTTCCTTGTGACTGAGTTGTGTGTCATTTTTTTTTTTTGCGTGAGTGCAATGTTCCTCCTGCACTTGTAACTGTGGCAACTGAAGATACCATCGGAATGCCACTGTTTACACACATATTGAATTAATGCCTCTTTGTGTGTTTGAACCGGAGACGGATTTGAATACAACGGGAGACATTTCTACAAAAGGTTTTGCGCCACCAAAGATTTCCGCCTGATTCCCGGGCTTATTTAAATCGGCCGGGCCCGGAGGAGAAATTCCAACCACCGCAGCCCGGCGGGGCCTTTTTCGACCCCCTGTAACAATCCGTAAATAAAGATCCCACAAAACGATAGGTTTCCACCAGACGATTCTTGGGCATCATTTTTTTTTTTACCTCACGTCATAGACCTCTGTACACCTGGACTGAGCGCAGAAATTTCGGCCATGACCATAGTGGCCCTAACTTTCAGATGTTATATCTCTAGATCAGTAACACCCAGATAGGTCCGGTCTTCACTGTTTGATGGCCCCGTGCATTACAAATTGAATGCAATGTCTCCGGGAGATATCGGCTGGCACAGAGGAGAGTCTGCGCGTGGCGCGTGAGGGTTGTTTACAAAGTTGGTCTAATGATATCTCCAGAACCGCGTCACTGATTGAGCTCAAATTTGGTATGTGACCAGATACCGGGCTTCTCAAAAAAGTTAGACGGATTTCTTTTGCGAATAGAGGACCCCTAACAACATTTACGCAAAATCAATACACGTGGAAAAACGGATAATTTTTCGGAGATTTATATGACACCATGGTTTGAGCTTAAAGAATGAAGCCGTGTTCTTAGGAAGTAAAAGCAAAACTCGTGAAATTATGCTTTCCCAGACTAAGTCGGTCGATTCAACACCACGGAAGATCCGCAAACACTTTAGGGCAAAGAGAGCAACATCTTGAAACAAAATTTTCCACATTATTGACAAGTTTCTGGCTCGAGGAAGTGTTAACAATAGATTCACGCAATTCAAGGAACATAGCGGCGGCCATAAACCCAATCAAAGGCTCACGGCGAACACCACTCGTGTGAGAGATGCGCTACTCAGACTGTCAATGGTCAGCGATATCGGGTGGCTCTGGCGACGTTTTGGAGGGTTCTGCAATATCAGGGTGAGCAGAGATCCGGAAACGCTTAAGACCCAATGGTTCCAAAAAGACGGTGCCACGCCAATACCGCTAAAGAAAACCGGGAGGGGCTGTGGGAGCGCTTCGGGCAGCGCGTGATCTCGAGGTTCGAGACACGCCCGTGGTCGGCGAATTCTCCGAACGTAACCCCACCGGACTTTTTCCTATAGGACCAACTCAAGTCCCAGGTGTACCGAGACCACCCAAAAAGTTCCGAAGATCATAAGGATGCAGTTAAGTCAGCGGTGTGCCGTCTGCAGCTTTCTGTGGGTCGTGCTGCAGCAGAGGTCGCGCTGCGCCGGGCTAAACTGTGCATCGTGCCAAAAGGGAATCATCTCGAACATGACCTCGGCGCGGCTCAGAAAGGCGACTGCCGAGGATCGAAATCCCCTCAAACGAAATGTCTTTGATAAGGCTTTTAGGTGATACCCAATTATGTTTTGTTACACTGATACGCCCTTCAATACGTTAGTTATAAAATCGTCCAACTTTTTTGAGAAGCCCGGTACAATACATCCGACACTAGCACATTTCTCAAATAGGGGCTGCTACTTCACGTGCGCACCCCTTTTTTATATCTCCGGAACTATTGGCCCGATTGAGTTCAAATTTGGTATGTGGCCAGATGACATACATTAGCCACTAGTGCATTTCTGAAACATGGGGTGCTGGTGCACGTGCGCACGTGCGCACCCCTTCTTTATATCTCAGTAACCACTGGCCCGACTGAGCTCAAATTTGGCATGTGGCCAGATGACATACATTAACCACCATTGCATTTCTGATACATGGGGTGCTGGTGCACGTGCGCACGTGCGCACCCCTTCTTTATATCTTAGTAACCACTGGCCCGATTGAGCTCAAATTTGGTATGTGGCCAGATAACATACATTAGCCACTTTTGCATTTCTGAAACAGAGGGTGCTGCTGTGGGTGCTGCCGCACGTGTGCACGTGCACACACTTTAATTTACACATAATTAGGTATAAGAAAGAAAAAAAATGGTGCGGAATGAAATGCAGCACCGGTAAGGTATCGTACGTAGCCACGTCTACCACCTTACTTGAGCTAATTAACATACAATCGGAAACACAGCTACCTGGAGACCTAGAACTTTTAAAGTAGGTAAATGCCGTGTAATGCACGTGCATCCGAGCCCCCCCCCTCCCGCTCGATAAATGTGAGAGTGGTAAATATATGACGTCTGGCCATATACCAAATTCGAATTAAATCAGGCCTGTACTTCCGGAGCAGACTTGTAAACGACTCTGAGTTGATTCGTGAATCGACTCAGAATCAAACCGTTTTTCGATGAGTCATGAGTTGATTCGAATCACTTCATCGAGGAACTTGATGAGTCATGAGTTGATTCGAATCAATTAAATTTAACATCATGAGTCATTTGATGAATCGATTCAAATTTTCAGACTCAAACAAAGAATCGACTCAAAAAAAAATTTGAGTCGTTTACATGTCACCATCAACACCCTAATAATCAATGCTAGATCACCCCCTCAGCTTTAGCCATCACTTAACTCCATATTTCAGACTTACAAGAGCCTCAGAGGCTCAGGCACAGGCGCCTAATGAGCCAAAAGCATTTGGCAGTTGGTAGGTACTTAGTCTTACCAAACCAAGTGCCTGCTACACTACCTAGGTACCTACATTTTACATGTCAGAAGTCAGAATTGACACCTGCGGCTGCCTCCCCTTCTCCCAGTCCCAATATGGTCCCAATAATCAATCAACAGCATAAGAGTTTGGGCGTCTATAGAGTCAAATACGCCCAAACTACCTATAGCCTATAAACTACCTATAGGCTATGCTTTAATATAAATAAACTCATCTATAAACCGCAAAATTGCGATGCTCAACTGCCAATAAACCACAAAATGCACATTTTTCCATGAAATAGAAGTTTAAAAAGAAACTTGTTTTATGACATCATAGAATCTTCAGAATAATGTAAAGGAGCGGCTTTGAAATATTTCCTCAGCGATCTCCATTCGCCTAAAATATGTACTATGAGTAACGTCATGAATTCGAGAATAGAATGTGAAAGTCATAGTATGTTTTAAGAAAACTACATTAAAGGGACCCTCCCACCTTCAAAAAAGTTAATGAATTGGCATGAAAGTGATGTCGCTCGGTTCAGAAAGAGCAAAAACGAATATCTACCAAATTTCATCGAAAAATATTCACCGGTTTTCAAGATATTAGACTTTTACTTTTGTTTACTTTTTGGGATCTCCGCTGTTCCTAGCGACTTTATTTGAAAGTGCGGCATTTGTTGCGCGCAAAGCAGCATATACCACCGCGTGCTACCAAACGTTTTAGTAAAAGATTTAAAAACTGTTAGACCTTCGCTGACGTCACAAATTCTAAGGGGGCATACCAATGCATTAGCCCCTTAGAATCCGAAAACTGCAAGTTTGAAATTCCATATCTCCGAATTAAAGCATTTTTCGATGTTGTGAGTGCCCAAACCGGTATTTTCAGGCTATGGCCACCAATTTGGCTATCTCAACTCAAAACTAATGTTAAGGTGGGATGGTCACTTTAATGGCGCAGTTGATAACTTTCACGTCTGAATCTCGATAAATATGTCAGTTGGCACTGCTAAACTAGGTGCCGTTTGGAGAATGTATATTGTATACCTACATTAACTACTTTCAATGAGTCTCAACTCAAGATCATATCTGATTCTGAGGCCTGAGCCACTCATGCAAGGTCATGGCCTCCTCGTGGCCAATGGAGTCCCTGCTGATGCTGAATGTTTCACAGGTGGGATTAATCCTATTTTTGAGGTTGTACTGTTTGAATAATTTTATCTGATAAGTAAGAAGTAGTAACATTTGTCTCATTATCATGTAGAAAAAGTTTGATTAAAAAAAAAAACATGAATGCCTCTCGGAACTTGTGCTTTTGAATTTTCAAATAAGACTTTCTAGGTAATAATAAGAGATAGGTTACTATGCTACTCCTTAGTCCTTACTTATATTATAATTGTCTATCAGAGTTACTTACAAATTTATCTGACATTGCACTGTTGACTGTTGAGTGTTGAAGATAGGTAGGTGTAAGGTAGGTACCTATGTACCTACACCTAGTCCTACTAGGTAGCTGCTTGAATCTTTGGTCAAGGCTACTATGCTGCTTAATACAATTGTGGTATGCGGCATATTCATTTTATCATAGCTTTGAGTCAAATAATCAACTAATGCCTATAGTGAGTCATGGGTTGAATGAAATAAGTTCAATAAAAATGTCGTGTGAGTCATGAGTTGATTTGAATCGATTCATCAAAATGTGTGAGTCATGAGTTGATTCGAATCATTCCGTTGGCTAGTTGCTCGAGTCATGAGTTGATTCGAATCATTTCATCGAGGAACTTGATGAGTCATGAGTTGATTCGAATCAATTAAATTTAACATCATGAGTCGTTTGATGAATCGATTCAAATTTCCAGACTCAAACAAAGAATCGACTCAAAAAAAATTTGAGTCGTTTACAAGTCTGTTCCGGAGATATAAAGAAGGGGTGTGCACGCGCGCACGGGCAGCAGCACTCCTTTTCGAAACATGGGATAGTGGTGGATCTATGACATCTGGCCACACACCAAATTTGAGCTTGATCGGGCCAGTGGCTACTGAGATATAAAGAAGGGGTGTGCACGTGCGCACGTGCACCAGCATCCCATGTTTCAGAAATGCACTAGTGGCTAATGTATGTCATCTGGCCACATACCAAATTTGAGATCAATCGGGCCAGTGGTTACTGAGATATAAAGAAGGGGTGCGCACGTGCGCACGTGCACCAGCACCCCAGGTTTCAGAAATGCACTAGTGGCTAATGTATGTCATCTGGCCACATACCAAATTTGAACTCAATCGGGCCAATAGTTCCGGAGATATAAAAAAGGGATGCGCACGTGCGCACGTGCAGTAGCACCCCCTATTTGCGAAATGTGCTAGTGTCGGATGTATTGTATCTGGTCACATACCAAATTTGAGCTCAATCAGTGACGCGGTTCTGGAGATATCATTAGACCAACTTTGTAAACACCCCTCACGCGCCACGCGCAGACTCTCCTCTGTGCCAGCCGATATCTCCCGGAGACATTGCATTCAATTTTTAATGCACGGGGCCATCAAACAGTGAAGACCGGACCTATCTGGGTGTTACTGATCTCGAGATATAACATCTGAAAGTTAGGGCCACTATGGTCATGGCCGAAATTTCTGCGCTCAGTCCAGGTGTACAGAGGTCTATGCTCACGTCAATTTAAAAGGTCAGAGTTCAAGGTCAAAGACAAGAACCAGCAAATATGTAGTGATGTAGTGATCTCAAGCTGTGTTCCAGAGGATGGCATGATGCATAAAATCGGGCAAAAATGGTTGGAGACGAAAAGAGATATTCTGACGAATCCGATAATGTGCTCAAAGATCAAGGAAAAGGTCAAGGTCACGCTAAAAATTGCACTTTTTTCGTGTATCATTTACACCGAATCCCAGAATGTTTTGAAATAGGTTCAGGCTTACCAGGTCCAGATTTGTGGTCTATGTACCGATGCAAGGCTGCCTCACGGTCAAGGTTATGCAAGGTTATCAATGATAGAGGTTATTTAACGGATTCAAGTCAGCCATGTTTACTATCTTGAAGCACTAAATAAATGTCTAGGGCAAAATGGAGGCCATATTCGTGATCACCGGCTAATAATATATCATACTCGTATACGACGTCTTATGTGTTAAGGTCATCCAAAGGTCATTCCGAGAGGTCAGCATAAAACTGAACCTTTTCCAAACAAACCCCATGTCGTTCAACACGTCTCGACAATGCGAATGCGTTGGTTCAACTGCCTTAGCTCTGAGACCATTTTATGTTGAAGTTATTAGTGAAAAACGAAAACCCTGGCTCCGGCTCTAAAATACCTGGCCTTAGGTCACCAAAACTACCAATACAACATTGTTAACTTGTAAGCTACAACATTGCAAACTACACCATCTTTATGACCAGACACATCCAAAGCGGACCGACGTCGGGGACGGCCGTGGAGCAACTGAGACCCTGCAGGAATGCCGGCCCTCTCGCAGCCAAGGGAATGCCCGCCCTCTCATAGCCGAGGAAATGCCCGCCCTCTCACAACCAAGGGAATGCCCGCCCTCCTTCAGCCGAGGGAATGCCCGCCCTCTAACAGCTGAGGAAACGCGGGCCTCACACAGCTGAGGGAATGCCCGCCGTCCCACAGTTAATGGAATACCAGCCTGCTTACATCTCCCCCCCGTCCCCCCGCAGCTGAGTGGATTACCCAGTGACGCCCATTCGCGCCGCTGCCGATTGTTTGTGTGAACAATACTGAATGGTCGCATGTCCCAGTGAGGGGCGCCGCCTAATGTGAGGCAACTGTAGGTCGCTCTGCCAGCCAGACGCGTTATGGGATGTCGTAACGGTGATATGAGCGGACGGATGTCATTGTTCGTCGTTACTGGAAGACCTCAAAGGACAATAGTCCATCGCCAGCCCTCCCTAGTCCCTGACAACCTTCACGATAACGCTGTGCGCGTCAACTTACATAGACTCCTTCAAATAGAACACGCCAAATTACGGAAGCTGAAAATATATTTGGTCATCTCTGCATAACCATGTTGGATCATAAACAAAACTGAATACAAATTGAACAATTCGTTAAAATAAAATAGGTCGTCTGCATCTGGATTTGTCGCAGCGAACCGCCCGATAACAGCCAATATGTGCACATTTACGCCAGCGACTCGGCTCAGCGGAAGATACACTGTGTACCAGTCTGGTGGACTACTCTAATCAGCCTCGTCTCGGTCTCGGACCGAGTCGGTTGTGTGGAATCGATATGGATTCGGTTCGAACACCCACTGGTCCTCTGGATATCACGCCCGGCTCACACGGCCGGCGCCGCGCGAATCACAGGCTCGGCGTGACGCTGCACCGCTCGCCCTACCTCCCCTGTAGGGACCGGCACCCACACTGCCGTCGACCGTTCCTCGCCGAGGCCGGGCGCACCCACCGCCCGCGCGGCTAACAACCGGGCTCCACCGATCAGGCGATCAGAACAAGCACCACACGGGGCCCTGCACCGCCGAGTGCCCACTCCAGCCCTAGGGGCCGCCATCAGTGCCTTTTAACACTGCAAACTGGCGGCTTCAGCCCAGGCAGGCTCCGATATGCCTCAAAGACATTCCCTCGAAACGTCCGCAACCTCACGATATCAACGAATCGACACCCCGAATATCAGCTAAAGCTACATCACAACACCCGTTAAACAAAGTGCCAAAGCTAGCTAGACTAGTACAAAACCATCCAGGATCGTTCCTGCATTGTTAAACCTCAACTGGCGCGGATAGGGATCACATTTTCTCCAGTATTTAAACTTATCTCACCACTTCCTCTGGTAACTTTCAATGCTCCGCTTAGAGGACGACTGGGACTCTCCATCCTACCAAAAATATTCGACCAGCCTCCGTGCTGCGTCCCAGCCGCATTCCTCCACTCACAGCGCCGCCACGCGGCGGGTAACAAAGCTGAAGTACGCGCCGCCGTCGAGGTGTGGCGCTACGATCGGAACACATGCACCACTCGGACGACGTATTTACGGCAGATGGGACACTCTGCCATCAGCTTACCGCAGGCGGTGCAGGTGGCCATGTGACCACACTCCAGCATCACGCAGTCGATCAGCGAGTCCATGCAGATCTTGCATATGTCGCGGTCCGACGCGGTCGCCAGAGCTGCGGGACGAGAGAGGGGTAGGTCAGATGAGTCAGGGCCCAGGGGAGGGGATCGTTCGGTCAGAGGTGGGGAGGAGAGGGTCCATCTGGCCAGGGGATGTGGGTAGGCATCAGTTGGTCACCTGTTAGCTTGCTTGTCAGTTAGATCAAGACATCGGTTCGCACTTCGCTCGGTAGAGCCATGGGAAAGTCCGTTATCAGGGTCGTGGGTATTCGCTGGTTAGCTAGGCCACGGATAGTTGCCAGTCACGGAGCGAGCTAGGCAACCCATCGCTCAGTTGGGTTTCGGGCACCACTCAGGTCAGACGGGCTCAGCGGATTCAGTGTGGCGGCCATGCTGACCGTTTGGCCAGGCACGGGTGCAGTCAGTAACGGTGCAGCGGTCCGTGGGACCCGTCAGACCCGACAACGGACGAAAGGCACGCCAGGGACACCGGCTAACCGGCCGGCCAGCGCCGTCGCCGCTCTAATGCATACAGGACCCTGTTCAAGGGCCGGCAGCGACAATGATGCTTAAAGGGACTATCCCACCTTTACATTAGGTTTGAGTTGAGATAGCCAAGTTTGCGGCGAGGTTCAGAAACCACTATCTGTCTTGGTCGCAACCCCCGCAGCCTCGTGGTGTTGAAGAAATTCGTTCCCTTCATTTGAAAATGTTCCCTGTACAAGTCCCAATCTCCTAACCATTAACGGCAATCTGATGACGTCATTTGCCTTTTGAACGCCTGTCACGCAATCAAGTGAAGTATCACTTGATTTACGAATAAGCCAATCAGAGATACTTTTGCTATTGTATGAGCCGCGTCATATTTGAGGGCAAATATATTTGCTGCCAAATTTCCCCCCATATTGACATGAAGTAAATCCTTGATTACGTCACAGATCCGATCTAAATGACGTCACAATGAAATATACAAGTCGCAATATCTCAAAAGCGTTAGATGAAAACGCGTAAAAACTTGCAGAATTCGTCACTATATCATGAGTAACATTTCCGAATCCTAAACGGTACTTTTTAAAAGGTGGGATAGTCCCTTTAACAGAGCACGCCAGTAACGCTGCTACTGATAAGCTTATTTAGATTCAAGCTGGTCTTTCCACGTGAAGCCTCCTGTATCTTTTGAAACAACCCATACGAAACAAGTTCAGATAGTCGTAAACAAAACGTTTGTACATTGACATCGCAGCAAGTTCATCCGCAAAAGGGTGGCAACTCGGAATCTAAAACTGAGTTGGGTGGATCACATCAGACTCTTTGGTGAAAAAATATGCCGGGAATCCAAGCATTCCGTCCCTATTACACAGTTCTACGATTCCACTTATCGTCTGATGACATGACAGCCTCACAAAATCTCCGGAAACTAACGGCTAGGCAAAACCAGGTCAAAAAGGACCCGAAATGTGACAATTCATCTAATGAACCCGGCCTTTCACCGTCTGTGGGTGGGACGGCCCGGTTCCGTCTGACTACCGGCGGCTGACCTACCCTCTGCGTTGCGCTTAGTCTCGTGCCAGAGCTCGCGGACGCGCCGCAGCAGGTCCTGTTTCTCGATGACGCCGCGGTAGTCGGTTCGACGGTGCTGCAGCAACCGCTTACACTGGCGCACCGTCAGCTGGGCGATCAGCTCCTCCGAGGGAATCTGAGCCACGTCCGTCACACGAGACAGGTCCTGGGGGTGCGGGAACGCAGCATTGTCAGCTGCAACACGCGGTACAGTCAGCAGCAAACACAACGAACACAAGGATACGGCACCCAGTACTCAGCACTCAGCAGACACACAAAGCCTGTCAAACACTGCCGGAACACGACACACGTTCTGTCCAGCGGCGGTGCGATCGATCTCCAGAGCACTCACCAGGCCGGTCTCGGACATGGGGTGGTCGGCAGCCGAGTCCCCGGACCGCTCCACCTCGATGGTCACCGACTCGGACTGCGGCTCGTCCGGGTCATCGTCCACCACCACCTCCTCTCCGGCATCGCTGCCGCCGGCCGGGCCGTCCACCTCGACCTCCACATCCACCTCTCCGTCCACCGCACCGCCCTCCGCCGGCCGCTCCGACCGGACACCGTCCTCACCGCCGTCATCATTCGTCTCCACGTCGACCACCACGAACCCGTCCTCGTCGACGTCGTCACAGCTCTCCGAGCCGGCGGGCGACGCCGAGCGGCGGCCGGCCGCGCCCGCCGGCTTCGGCGACGGCGGCGCCTCCTCAGCATCCATGGCGCGCACTCGGATCGACTCGTAGGGCCCCACGCGACTCGAGTCTCGCGGCCGGGCGCGGTGGGGCAGGCCGTCGGCGGCGGGGGCAGGGGTGGGCGCGGGGGCCGGCTCGCGGTCGAGGTCGAGGTCGGGGGCGGACGGTAACGGCGACCGCTCGCTCTGAGTATCCGACTGCTCGGCCGACCTCCGGGACATCAGAATCGTGTCCACCAGGTCCGATTTTTCTGCAACAGAACAAAGCTTGGTGTTATTATGTAATATAACAGGGTGTAAGAAACAGCGCTAATTATGCGACGGCGCTAGCATATTCAACATAACCCAACGATCAACAGACCAAACAGTACTTGAACATAACTGACAAAAATGATTTCCTTCATACTTGCTATACAATGAACGTGCCTAATAACAAAGTAAATGAAATATAATAAATACGATGCCAGATAGTCTCGGTTTATCAAGTGCCACCATATCCATTCCCTTACATCTATGCAGTAACCTTGTAACTGGTAATGACGCCCACGTGTGTGGGCACGATGATGGCCAGGCAAGCCATGTGTTTTTCCGACTCCCCCCCCCCCCCCCCGTAGTGACACAGGACACAGCCACAGCAGTGGCCCCGCTCCAGCTGAAGCGACCAGCCACCAGTCGCCGATCGCGACCGGCAGTGCCGATCGATAGATTGTCATGGAAACATCGATGGTGTGTTCGGAGCGCAGTGTGCACGGTGGGTGCGGTGTACACCGCCCCCGGGCCGTGCCACGGAGGCGGTCATACGGTGCACTTTTGTACACACATCCGCCGAGGAGATGATTGCACTCATGGGCAAAAAAGGTGACGCACATCGTTTCATCACTTGATTTCTCTGGTATGATTTCAGTCGGAGAAACATACCATCATTAAATCGGCGTCTGTGATCATTACGAAAACACACTATTTCTCAGTTGTGAGTTAAAAAAGTAAAAACTGAAATACAGAACACCGTAAACAATCGATATCTCGGCTATCTTAGCCTATGTCCGCTCGATGTGACAATAATATCGGTACCAAGGTAGTGAGCGCCACTCGATATTTACTTCGCATGAAAGTTGGCTTCCGATGAAACGACAACCTAGCATCATTTTTTCTTTTTTTTTGTAGATTACGAAGTGCTTCAAGGCAGGCGCCTGAGGCAACTGTTATTTGATCACATGCTAAGTTTTTCAGATCATCATTTATCGAGAACGTTTTATTTTATGAGTATCATCCATGATTATTCTCTACCGTCATTTATAGTGACGTTGATACATCCATCTCACTGGCTATTTTTCTCGATACATCATCACAGACGTCATATATTTACTCCAGATGACGTCACCTCTACAGATACACTGTGAATGGGGACGACGTAATACCAACGCCAGAGTTCAATCAGTTTATATAGCGTGCGGGCGATCAGGCATAATGCTGAGACGATACTGAACAGCCGCGCACGGCCTCCACTCCAGCTGACTATCAACGTTCATGGCCTTTGATCTAGAGACGTCCTTTACCTATCGAAGAGCGATGTCGAACAAGCACCGCAGTTAGGGAGCCCAACAGTTCATGACCGATCATTAATTATTGTTTAACATGTTAGATAAAATGAAGATCTTTGCACCAATCTGCCACCTATAAGGACGTATGTTTGGTTAGCATGACGGCTGAGTGTCATAAATGTGTGCAATCGCCTCAAAACACGATGACCTCGGTTCTCCGAACTCCGTGTCTCTCGTAAGCGATGTTAAGTAATAATATCCATCCCACCAGCTGCTGAGCTCAGGTAATGAGCGCGGAGGTTAGTTAGCCCCGGGTCTGATCAGCACCAGCCCCTGCTGACGCCGGCGGCCGGCACTCACCGCGGCAGGTGGCCGAGGAGACGTCCGCGATCTTCATGATGTGCTTCAGGTCGCGCACGGTCATCTGCTGCAGGGCGGCGCGCTCGTAGCGTACACCGGCCAGTCGCGTGCAGCGCAGGCACTGCCGGCCGACGCCGCACAGACGCACCCGTTGCATGCAGGCTGAGCAGCACACCGAGCGGCACATTAGACATGTCCGCTGCCAAAGGATAGCAGGGCAAGGTGTCAGAGCTGTGGGTCTGAGGGCAAAATATAACAAGGCACACCACAGCTACATTTTGTGGCATATCACGTTGACATATAGATACAGCTACATTTGATAGGTATGGCACAGATCAACACCATTAAAAAATATCTAACTAAAAATTCAGTTAAATATTTTAACTAAAACTCCCTAAAGCAAAAATAGGACTGAGAGTCCAAGATGACCATCTCATACTGCACTTAGCAGATGCATGGATAACACCTCACCAAGTTGGGTGGAAGTGGACACAGTTCAAGGTCATGATCAGATTGTCACTGTCGAACTTCATCAGTACTAACAGTGCTATCCCTGCCATATTTATTTTCATAGGCATGTTTGTGAATAATGTCAGACACAAAAAAATGGGTAAATGTCAAGTTTAAGTCCTAAGCAGATTTCATGGATAATTTTTTTCATATTCTTACATTATTTGACATCCTGAATCCAAAAATGATACTTATATGTCTCGCAAATAAAAGAAAAAAACATAATCAAACCTGACCTAACCTTACCTACTTACCTATAACCTACCAACGTCCAACCTACAACCTACAAACCCACAACCTAACAACCTAAAACCTACAAACCTACCTACCTACAACCTAAAACCTACAAACCTACAACCTAACCTAACCTAAAACCTAAAATTTTTGCTGTTACATATTTGTATCAACAGCGCCACAATTGAAGTTAGGACCTAAACTTGATATATACCAAAAATTGAGTGCTCTCACCATCCGCGTCATCATCAACAGCCTACTGCCAGTGGTCGTCGCCTCTGACACCCTGAACCAATTCAAAAACCGGCTTGATGCTCACTGGGCACACCTTGCATACGACATTTTTGCATACGATTTCAAGCCAGTGGACAGTGATCTGAAGTTTGAAGATATTTTCTTAATTCCTGAAGATTGTCTTGCTCGCTAGACTCGTGGTTCTGTGGCCAATCAGAAGCCAAGATGCCAGTTTCAAGGTCACCGCCGCCAAGTCAAAGAAGATCGTTGAGAATATTGTCTTCGTCGACATCTGGTGGTGTTGCTGTTTCAAGTGAAGGCGTGGATACGTCGTTGACAGTGTCAGGGGATCAGGATTCGAACGTGCTTGGTCCAGTATTTTCCGACAGTGATACTGGAGCTAGTGGTACTGACACCAGGAATTCCAAAAGTGGAAGTTCCTCTCTTCTGGTACCTGAGGTCAAAACAGGTAGGGCCAAGGTGCATAAGCTAAATGGTGAGGCCTACAAGCCATTTGGGTCAAGGTCTCGTGCCTCCAGTGATGCAGGCAGTGACTCTGCTTTTTGTCACGGTGGCCCAGGAAAGGTAGTCTGTGGGGAGCCAGTTAGGAATTCCGAGTATGGTGTTCAGTGTGACAAATGTGATGCATGGTTCCACGCTAGCTGCCAGGGTATTCCAAAGGAGGGATACGAAGCTCTTTCCAAGCATGATCAGATCGTGAGTTGGCTCTGTACCTCATGCAAAGCAACACTCAAAGAGCCAACCTCTGCTCGTCTGACAGTTCTTGAGACTAAGATGGATGAACTGGCCTCCATGGTCAAGGACCTCACAGCACAGGTAGGAAACAAAGATCTAAAGGCAAAAGTAGAACAGCTTGTATCGGCTGTAAACAAACACACAACAATGGTAGGACAATCGCTTAAGCAACAGGAGCAGGCAGTTGACACACAGACAAAGCTCATTGAAAGGTCAATCAGGGACAACGTGCAGCAGAAAGCATCATATGCTGATATGGTTAAAGGCACGTGCACTGACGTTGTCACAAAGGTGTCGGCTAAACTCTCGTCCATCCCTCAGACCCTGTCAGTTCAGGGGGAGTCAAAGGACATGAAAAACATCTCAAAAGTCTTTGACGACTTCCTGGATAAGGAGAAACGGAGAAACAACCTGGTGGTACATAACCTACCAGAGGGTGACAGCCGAGACGTGGCAGGCAGGTCTGAGAGGGACATAAAGCTGTTCCAGCAGATGGTCAAGGACGAATTCAGGATGAATGTATCTGCGACAAAAAGCTTCAGAGCTGGTAAGGCCAGTCGAAACAAGGACAGACTCCTGATAGTTACACTCGACACCCCGGGCGTGAAGCACGACATACTCCGCCTTGCTCCTCAGCTGCGCCAATCCGAGAAATGGGGTAAGATCTATATCACACCGGACCTCACCTGGTCAGAGCGAGAAGCAGCACGCCTTGCCAGACAGGAACTCGCAGCTCGGAAAGCAGCCGGTGAAACCAACCTGACTATTCGTAAAGGGAAAGTGGTTAAGGCGCGTGTGGCCAGTCCGGCGGTCGCTGATGGTGCCAGTGCCCACACTTCACCACCTGAAGTGCTGGCTGGTCCAGAGGCTGCTGCTGGTGTCAGTGGCCACCGGCCTACATCCACAGAGAAAACAGGTTCTGCTCCTGCTGCCAGGGTTGGAGATGGGAGAGCGATAGAGGCACGCGCTGCTGATCCGGCGGTGGCTGATGGTGCCAGTGCCCACACTTCACCACCTGAAGTGCTGGCTGGTCCAGAGGCTGCTGCTGGTGTCAGTGGCCACCGGCCTACATCCACAGAGAAGGCAGGTTCTGCTCCTGCTGCTATGGTTGGAGATGGGAGAGAGATAGAGGCACACACTGCTGATCTGGTGGTGGCTGATGGTGCCAGTACCCACACTTCACCACCTGAAGTGCTGGCTGGTCCAGAGGCTGCTGCTGGTGTCGGTGGCTACCGGCCTACATCCACGCAGGCAGATCCGGCTGTCGCCACTGGTGCCAGTGACCACGCTCCTACGCCTGGAGCGCTGGCTGGTCCAGTTTCGGCTGCTGACGAGCACACGTCGGCCTGACTACACACAAATATCACTGACAGGGACAAGCAGCTCAGCTGTTTCTATACCAATGCTGACCAGCTAGTTAACAAGAGAGACGATCTGCTTAGTTACATATCTGATGATTTACCAGACGTCATCCTGGTGACAGAATGCATACCAAAAGCCCAGCAGTTACCAATCAGCATGGCACTGTTATCTCTCCCTGGTTACAACCTATTTACCAACTTTGATCCTAACGAGAGCCATCTGGGGTCAAAGGGTACTTGCGGTGTCTGTATATATGTGATAGACAGCATCCATGCTACTGAGGTAACATTTACCAGGCCCACATTGACAGAGCATCTGTGGATCAACATCTCTCTGAAGGGTAATGATAGGCTGATCATGGGCTGTGTCTATCGGAGTCCGTCCCAGGACCCTAAGCAGAGCATCGATGAGCTTGCTAGTCTTTTCCAGTCCGTCATTGATTCAAAACCTTCTCACGTGCTGATCTGTGGGGATTTTAATATTCCACAGATCAACTGGGCACTCAACTTTTGTGCAGCACCAGAATCCCACTACGCTCACAAGTTTCTTGGCTCTATTCATGATTGTCTACTATTCCAGCATGTTTTGGCACCCACTAGGTACAGAGAAGGGGAGTCGCCTAGCCTGCTAGACCTCCTATTCACTAACGAGGAGGGGATGCTGTCTAGCCTCGAGTACTTACCAGGTCTGGGTAAGAGTGACCACATAGTAATGAGATTCAATCTCAAGTGCTACAGTACCCGTTCCGAGAATGTACAGGAAAGGTTAAACTTTCACAGAGCCAACTTTGGACAACTCCAGGAGATGATAGCTGAGGCAAACTGGGAATGTCTGGCTTCACTGGACATTGAGGCAGGGTACCAGTATTTTAGGAATTCTCTGACCTCTTTTGTTACTGCCACTGTACCCACTGCTAGAAGTTCCAAATCGAGGAAAAATATCTACATGACGAGCCATGCCCTTAGGTTGAGGAAAGAAAAACACAGTCTTTGGCGCACATACACGTCCACTAAGGATCCATTGGACTTGGCTAGATTTAGAGTCTGCAGAAATAAGCTTCGAGTCCTCACACGCAAACTCCGTAGAGACTTCGAAACTCAATTGGCTACCGATTTGAAAGAGAATCCGAAGGCCTTCTGGAGGTATACTAACTCGAGACTTAAAACAAAGACAGGAATAGGGGATCTTCGGAATTGCTCAGGAGATCTGATGAGTGATGATAAGGCGAAGGCTGACATTCTAAATGCGCAGTTTGGCAGTGTTTTTACTCAAGAACGGCTCACAGACATTCCAACCCTTGCCAGCGCCAGCACTACTTCAGAGGTAACCGATATCCGAATCACACCGGAGGCCATTGAACAAAAGTTACAGGCCCTCAACCCGTCCAGTGCTCCTGGACCAGATAATGGACCGAGCTGAATACGTCTCTAAAGCGGAGTCTATCGTCAGCGAATATGCACCAATAGACAAAAACCCGACTACCAAGCTCGAGGAGCAGACAAAAGGCTTGATAAAAAAGACGCTGGAGAACAAGATCCCGGATGACATCGTAAAAAAGATTCTACCGCAGCACTCTAGGACTGCCGAGTTTTATGGTCTTCCGAAAACTCATAAGCCAGGTAACCCTCTGCGTCCGATCGTATCTGCCTGCGGTGATCCACTAGACAAACTCTCTTGGTTTTTACAATGCATCTTGACACAAATTCTTTCATTCATTCCAGCGCATTTAAACAACACCCAGTGTTACCTCGCACGCCTCAAAGATACCTTCCCAAACGGCCTTCCACCTGGCAGTATTCTTTTCAGCTTTGATGTCAGCAACCTATACGGAAGTATCCCCATCCAACAAGGCATAGATGCTGTTTTAAGCCTTATAGAATCAAACTTAGACAAGATTAACACTTTCAATTTGACGTTGAGTGATATCCGTTCCCTTCTCAGCCACGTCCTCACAAACAACTACGTGAGGTTCAACTCAAAACTTTTCAAACAGACCACCGGCATCGCTATGGGCAATAGGATAGCCCCACCAGTAGCTATAGCGTTTATGCATGTTTTTGAAAGCACATTTCTATCTTCTATGACACAAGTCCCCGCATTTTATGTGCGCTATATTGACGACATATTAGGAGTCTGGACTTATGGTATCGACCGCCTCAACCATTTCTTCAACCTGATGAACACCCACAACCCGGCTATTCGTCTCACAATGGATCACACAGGACTGACAGGTAGACTATCGTTCCTAGACACTATGATCACCGTACACCCTTCAGGTACCTACACCACCGAACTGTATTTCAAACCGATGGCTGCACCGATCATCTTACACTACACCTCTGCTCATCCCATGTCGACAAAGAAAGCGGTACTCAACGCAGAAATTCAAAGGGCTATTCGAGTCTCCTCAGACAAACCCGCTACAGAACGGAGTATCGAGATCATTTCACAATTGTTCAGCAAAAATGGATATCCTATGAGCCTTATCAAACATTCAATTAGGAAACAAAAGTACAGCAAAGGAACCAAGAAAACACGTACTTTGACCAACGAAAACCAGATCTACATGCGTTTACCTTACATCAATGAGACGATCGTACGCCGAGTAAACGGCATTATCCGCGGCTCCAAAATTCCTGTCAAGCCCATTTGGATTAATGACAACTCGATTCAAACAAAACTGATCTCCTCGGCCCTTACCAGACCACCCTGCCCTTCCGGCAACAAAAAGTGCCATACTTGTGAAAATGGACTACCGGGGAAGTGCACCACAAAAAGCGTAGTGTACAGGATAGTCTGTAAGCTGTGCGAAACTACCCAACACGACGAAACCTATATAGGAGAATGCACCAGACCAGTCCGCTACCGATTTAACGAGCACCTGAGCGATGCACGTTTGCGTAAACTAGACACACCATTAGGGGAACACACGCTACATGCTCACTCTCAGCTTCCCAACGAGGATCTCAACAATGCGTTTAGAATTGAGATACTGGATAGAGGTAAGGACTGTGCTGACATTAAAATTAAAGAATCACTTCACATACGCAATCTTAAACCTAGTTTGAACACCATGCAAAGCTCTTGGCCACTGACTAGATAGTTCATTTCATTCGCCACGCCCCGCACAACACACAAACATCAGGACCACACTCTTCATCACCCTCTACCCTTACAAGTTACAACCCTCTCCTTTACACACACCCCCTCACACACACACACACTTAACACACTCAAAGGTACTCAATTGTAATGCTAAGCACATTCTTTCAGACGCATGAGGGTACCTAGGCTGGAGTCTCGTATTTGTTGCTGGCTAGCCCTGTGATAGCCTTGTCGGCCCAGTACTCTTCTACCTATCAGATATCTAGATGTGAACGATATCTTTCGTGCCTCTCGATTCTTTAAAGGGACCCTCCCACCTTCAAAAAAGTTTATGAATTGGCATGAAAGTGATGTCGCTCGGTTCAGAAAGAGCAAAAACGAATATCTACCAAATTTCATCGAAAAATATTCACCGGTTTTCAAGATATTAGACTTTTACTTTTGTTTACTTTTTGGGATCTCCGCTGTTCCTAGCGACTTTATTTAAAAGTGCGGCATTTGTTGCGCGCAAAGCAGCACATACCACCGCGTGCTACAAAACGTTTTAGTCAAACTTAATGACGGACGTTCGAAAGCCTGATGACGTCATCAGATTCCCGTAACGGTTAAGAGATGGGGACCACGCTGGTCCCACCCTGCAAGTAAAGGGAAGAAATTTCTTGAACACCATAAAGCTGCGGGGGTTGCGACCAGGATAAATGGTGGTTTCTGAGCCTGGCCGCAAACTTGGCTATCTCAACTCAAAACTAATGTTAAGGTGGGAGGGTCCCTTTAACCTATTTGTTTGCCTTTGTACACTTCTACATATGTGCTATAAGATTTATGTTCGAAATTGTCCGTGTCAAGAATGTATGTATCTGCATTGCGATATTCCCACCTAACATTGAGCGCGTGATAGACTTTGTGTGTAGCTAGAATTTTTAAATGTCATAAAACAATGAATCTGATGATGCTGTAAAGCGAAAGCTCATTCTCATATTTGGCCTATTTTAAAATAAAAGTTTTACATTTCTGCCATGTTATTGATCATTTTCACATATTTAAATACTGGAATCCTTCATCAGAGACACAATCTATCAGCACTTCTCAGAGAACCACCTGTGGGCAGACTGCCAGCATGGCTTCCGGCCAAAGCACTCCTGCAGCACCCAGCTGGTCAAAGTGCTTGATGACTGGAGCAGGGCCCTAGAGAATCATAAGCCTGTCGATGTAATGTACCTGGACTTCCAGAAGGCTTTCGACTCCGTTCCTCACCAGCGACTCCTCTATAAACTCAGGCGTCACGGGGTGAGCGGTAAGCTGATCACATGGATCGGGGCTTTCCTGAGAGCCAGGAGACAGCAGGTAGTGATTAATGGTCAGTCATCTGACTGG